GTCCTTATTTTATTTTATTGGTGGCCTTTCCTTTCCTGTACAGATAGATTTTCAGGCAAATGGACAAACACATACACAAGTGGATAGTTCAAGAAAATATGATTTTTAACCTATGTACAAATTGATATGATAAGAATACCTCATTTTCAAAAGTTCATGTTCTCTGTTTATTTTATTATATATATATGTGTCCATTTTAGATGAGAATGGTGACTTCATACATTGCTGCCCAAAGATGTCGAATCAGAGGTATGCTGCTTTGATTATCACAATGCACAAAAGTCCGAAGAGACAAATTCTCAACACATTCCATTGATATTGATTCAGCTTGTGATAATTTTCTTTCTGTAAATGGTTTCGTAAAAGAGAAAAAAAACATTAATAGATATTCAAATTTTTTGTTAAAAAGGATCGTTTTCATATTCTTTATCAAAAATAAAACAAATTGTAACTTTGCATAGGTTCAATTAGATTTAACCCAAATAAATTTTAAATGGCAATAGATAACTCAAATTGTGTCAACATAAGACAGGCCTCTGAAATGTTGTTGGCGTTGAAAGTTGGTGTTGATAGATTAATACAGTTGTATGTATATTTTGTTTTCAATGTGAAATTTTCACGTAGTAGTAATTCGGACATGAACATTATTTACAGCAGGCAAAATTAAGTTGTTTTTCATTTCTTCTTTTTAGCAAAGCATGTCTTCCCATTAAAATTGACAGTTCTGATCCTACCTTTGAAGAGGGTTGTATGAGTTTTGTGAGGTCTGCACCTTCTGAAGATTCACGAGAACTGGGTAAGATCATAAAACCAAAAATATGCTGTGTTTGCTTGTGGATTTGTCATCGATGTGAAACCAAATACTGAGTAGTGAGTGCCTTTTATATGGAAGAGATGGTAATCACAAATAATACCAAGACAACCAGAGGATAGGTTTGTCATGGCCTCTTGTGTATAGACGATAAAAGATGACATGATTCTTGTATCTTTAGTTTTTTTATCAATACAAATACATGTACGAGTATGTGCTTTTTTTGCGGGGGTGGGGTGATAAAACTTTTATGGCAATTTGATCATGAAAATGGAATATTTACTGTTATTATTATCTGATAGATGTTTACTTTCTCTCATTAGGTTACCGGGAGCAGTTTAACGTCAACACAGCATTTATAGATGCGTCTAATGTCTACGGTTCCGGAGAACAGGACTTTGATAGACTGAGAAATTTCACTGGAGGTACAGATGCAAATTAACTTAATGGATTTAGTTTTATGTAGTTATATATTTATATAATCTATATTTGTAGTTTAGATATTGCTGCCTTTTCTTAGTGAAAAAAAGCACATCAAAGAACACGAGTCTCAAAATTTTGCATTCAATTTTTTTTGCGCGTAAGAGACTGAGTGAGTCACATATTTAAAAAAAAACGGGGTTCCATCTGAAATTTGTGAACATTACGCGTATGTGTTATATGTAATTTTGACTTCAAAATTTTATCTTACCCATTAAAAAGGTCTGCTTAAAGTGTTTCGTGCTGCAGACAGTGACAGATATTTACCCTGGGCAGAAACAGAGGAAAAGAAGAAACTTGAATGTCAAGTTCGAGAAGGAAAAGATATCTGTTTTGCGGCAGGTAGGCAAAAAGTATCGGAGTGTTTTTTTCTGATTATGGTCTATTGTTATGCTACAGTCACTGCACAGGCGAAATTGTTTTGAGGCGGCACGTTGCTCGGTATTGACATCTTTTTATCCAGTAATCATATGTATGATAATAATAATTAAATTTCGTTCTGGATCCTGCTACGAAAACCGTGTGACTTTGACGAAGACGAAGAGAGAAAAGAAAAATAAAGAATATGAAAATAGACAAATAAATACATTATAAAAAAGAAAAAAAAAATGGTTAAGACGCTATTCATTTGAAACATTTAATATATCTCTCATGTTTCTTTTCAGGTGACGTGAGAGTGAATGAACAGCCTGGTCTCACTGCAATGCACACTACCTGGCTATATGAACACAACAGAATTGCCAGAGCTCTATCAAAACTTAATCCTCAGTGGAATGATGAACGATTGTTTCAAGAAGCCAGGAGGATTCTTGGTGCCATGATGCAGCATATTACCTATAACGAGTTCCTGCCTATCATTCTCGGAGAAAGTGGAATGACGACGTATGGACTGAAAGTGAAACCCGGAGCACAACGCTCTACTTACAACAGCGCCGTAAACCCTACAGTTGTAAATGAATTTTCTGCTGCGGCATATCGTTTTGGTCATTCACTTTTGCAGAATTTTATTCCCCGCTTTGACCAAGAAACTGATACTGATAATCTGAGGCTCAGAGACAATTTCTTCTGTCCTTTTGCCCTCCTAGATTCGCTTCAGGGAGGCGTTAAGAGTATAATCAATGGTCTACTGCATACCCACCCACAAAAGGTTGATAACAAAGTGACCGAAGAAGTAACAAACCATCTTTTCGAAAACACAGTGGCCATGCCTGGTTTTGATTTAGTGTCACTGAATATTCAAAGGGGCCGGGATCATGGTCTGCCATCCTATAACACCATGCGGGAAGCATGTGGATTAGAAAAAGCCACAGATTTCGATGGATTGCAGGATCTTCCTGAGAGGTTGAGAACGTTGTATCATTCTGTTTACAGGTATATTTGACCTCATCGATTTGTCTGATTATACCTATCATTATTTTAATCTAAATTGTTATTTAGATTAAATAACAATTTAGATTTAAATAATCTAAATTGTTATTTGAAAAATCGTTGGGCTAAAATGTCATTTTAAAAAAGTTTGAGAATATCCGCGAAACATTTATCATTTGAAATTTCCAGTGTTATGATAATATGGATAGTTTACTGATTTTTTAGATTATTAACCTTATTTTACAGACACGTAGATGACATAGACTTGTGGACTGCAGGTGTCTCAGAAATCCCGAGGAATGACGGTCTGCTGGGCCCAACATTCAGTTGCATCATAGGACAGCAGTTTCGCAGACTCAAATATGGAGACAGATACTTTTATCAGCACAGCGGTGAAACTGGGCTTACTGAAGGTAAACTATACTGTTTTACTTCGTCTTTTTCTTTTTAAAAAGTCATACAAGGCGCGTAAGTCGTTTATAAAGGAAAAAGTTATTTCCTGGAATTTCAGATATATTCGATTTTTGGCAATGGTATGTCCAAACCGAAACTGTTGAGAAAAATACGACAACAAAACTCGTTTTCCAGTTCTAAATTTCTAATTTTTACTGTCACGAGTAAAATTCACCAGTTTTTATCTTTGGTATGAGGGACACACAAAAACTAGCTACCTTGAGCTCATCCGTGAACGGTTTTTGATATGGTATACCCTATTGATTAAGGGACACGGGTTGAAATCCTCAGAAAATTAAGATTTTTGGTATATACATGTAACATTAATACTCGAAGTGTAACTTTTGATTATAAGCCCTCAAAAGTGTCAGCGCACTGAAAAATAACATTGTATATCTTTGAAAACCCGGGCGTACAGGCCTATATATCGACGTGTTGGTCACGGGTTTGTGAAAAAACACTGTTTTTGAACTATGATTTTATTCAGTTGCAAATGACAGTATAATGAGCACAATGCCATGTTAGATTGTAATTTTGTTACAGTTTCATTAAGCTTAAATTTTTTTACTGATTTAGATCAGCTGTTGAGCATCAAAGGTGTCCTGCTTTCCAGAGTGATGTGTGAAAATACTGGCATCACACAGGTGCAAAAACAGGCTTTGAAAGCCGTTGGTGAAAGGTTTGTATAGGCATTTGCACATCTTGGTATTTATTTTATATCTTGAAATTCTGCCCCCTCAATTTCAATGTCATTAGTAGATGATCACCATGTAGCCTATTTATATCTATTGAAAGGCAGTATTTTGAAGACTGTTGTAAAACTGGTTAAAAATAATTTAAATTTACCTGTTTAACTTACCTATGTGTAGCCTATATGACACGACTTAAAAAATGCATCTGGACAATTACTTTTATAATTTTTCTTATTGAATTAAATGAATTTGTCTGTGCATGGGCTAATATATTTTTATTATTTTTAGCAATCCATATGTGGACTGCAATGCGTTGCCAGGGCTTGATTTGTCTCCATGGAAAGAATAGGAAGGTCTTTACTGGATGAGAATTTAACGAGTCTCGAAAAATAGCCAGTGTTTTTCGTATTGGCATTTTGTATCAAAGTGTCTTATTTAAATTACAAAGAAATAAACATTTTTAAATATAATTGACCACAGACTTCGTCTTTCTTTTTTCTTTCTTTCTTTTTTCTTTCTGCTTTCTTTTTTCTCATTTCATATCGATTTCATCAAAATTCCTTTTATTCAAAAGAAATAAAACATAAAATGCCCCCTGCTTAGTCAGATCATAAATAACGCGTGGAATACATTTTCTTTAAAAAATGTATTTCAATTTTTTCTCAAAAATGGGACAAATTACATTACCAATTTCAGATCACTGTGCAATTATTTTAATTTTAAAAAGTAAAAGTTGATGAAAAAAATGACCAAATTAAGCTTTTGATTTTAGCACCAACTGAACAATGAGCATACATTTACTCGTGGCATATTTACTGCCAGCACTGTTTGATGATACTATACTGGTCTCTTCTTTTGTGACTGAACACAGCGCGACAGAAAAAAGGAGAAAGAAAAAACGTATCAGCCATTATAGGCTATATAGCATCGGGCATCTTGAACAGAGCCAACTTTTCGAGAAACGTTCGAAATTAAGCGTTTCAAATGCCCTATTAGTAGTTTTCATGAATTAATATTCATTATTTAAATATCATTATAAAATCATCATTGTATATGTAAATTAACACTATTACGCACCAGAAATATATTATCAAGAAAAATACATTAAATACATTCATTTGTGCAAACATTTATCTGAAAGGTGATTTCAGCTCTTCATGAAATGAAGATCAGAAATCATCGCACCTCCACACACTTCCGTTTGCTGCAACATTAGTACAAGAGTGATGAAACTGACATTAATTTCGACCTCCTGAGGAGTGTACCAACATACAGGCAGAATGACTGAAAACAGACAGCTTAATGTTGTATTCATCCATCCTGATCTTGGGATTGGAGGCGCAGAAAGAGCTGTCGTTGATGCTGCGCTTGCATTGAAGTCTAGCGGTCACTCTGTCCAGTTCGTGACTGCCCATCATGATCCAAGCCATTGCTTTGAAGAAACCAGAGATGGCCAACTGAAAATTACAGCTGTTGGAGACTGGTTACCCAGACATGTCTTCGGTCGATGTGCCGCTCTGTGCGCATATATTCGAATGATTTACGCAGCAATATATCTTGTCTTTTTCAGCGATATAAATCCAGACATAATTTTCTGCGATCAGATTTCTGCATGCATTCCCTTTTTACGAATTTCCAGAGTGAAAATTATATTTTACTGCCATTTTCCCGACCTGTTGCTCACCCAGAGACAAAGTTTGTTTAAAAGACTGTACCGCTTGCCCATAGATTGGCTTGAGGAGTGGACAACAGGAATGGCGCATTGTATATTAGTTAATAGTAAATTTACAGGTACAGTTTATCGTATCACTCATTGAAGTGATACTTAAAACTCTTACAATATCACTTTCATGTAAATGAGCAATCAAAATAACATTCCAGTGGACAGATTTGTAATGTGCATTATTTAAATTTAAACTACAAATTTTGAAATTTTGTATTTGTTAGATTATTTTTAAACTTTCAGGTTAATTTCCATCTAGAAATCAAGTAGTGCAAGAATCACATAGCAGGTACATTTATTGTATGTTATTGATGTGTTATTTGTATTCTAGCTGGTGTATTCAAGGACACATTCAAGACTCTTGGGCATATCAACCCTGAGGTGCTGTACCCTATACCAAATCTTTCAACACTGGGAAAACCTGTAGATCCTCTTCCCAAAAGTCATTGCCCACCCAAAGAAACAAAGACACTGTTTTTGTCAATCAACAGATATGAACGTAAGAAAAATCTAGGACTTGCAATAGAAGGGCTGGGTAGGTATCTGACCTAGCATTGTGTTAAGCTACAGTTTATTTTAAAGATTAAATTAATCTAAGCAGTTTGATAAACAGGTGTTTGTCCTGTCATTGGTATTTGGTACATTTTGACATATTATTCATTCAGTTGGAATTGAAGTATAGTGTTAAATGAATATGACATCTTTAAATGGAATTTTAGCACTGGGCAAAAAGTTGGGAAGTTTTTGTGTAATTTTTAGCTTTATCAAGTCATAAATTGTTCTTAGACTGTTCTTACCAGTCACAAGAAAGTTTACTAAATTGTTCTTTTTTTTTCAGCAAAACTCAAGGAGAGCATTCCTCTGTATGGCATACACCTGATAATGGCTGGTGGCTATGATGAAAGGGTCACAGAAAACAAAGAACATTATTTAGAATTAAAGGAACTAGCAGAAAAACTTGGGGTTCAGACCCATGTCTCATTTATTCGATCCTTTAGTGATTCGGAAAAAAGATCACTGCTTAGCAATGCAACCAGTCTGATATACACTCCTGATAAAGAACATTTTGGTATTGTACCAGTAGAAGCAATGTTCATGCAGTGTCCTGTAATAGCAGTGAGAAGTGGTGGCCCTGTAGAAACAGTTGATGATAAAGTAACAGGCTTCTTGTGTGATCCCACCCCACAGAGCTTTTCTGAATCCATGCTATACTTTGTGAAAAATCCTAACGCTAAAGAGGAGATGGGAAGGGCAGGTAAACTTAGAGTCATTGAAAAGTTTTCCTTTCAGGCATTTTCAAGACAGCTAAATAACTTGATAATGGAGTTAAAATTTGGCAAGGAAAAGTGACTTGAACATTGAATTGAAAAAACATGAGGTCTCTGATGTTTCTATATAAAACACCTATATAAATGTAATATCACAAAAAATGATTGATACAATGGTTCATCTCTTTAAATTAACAGAGAAAAGATGAAAAAGGTTACACATGTGCAAAAACATTACCTTACTGAAGTAAGAGGTCTTGATATACTCTATTCTTGGACAAATGGAACATTTTGTCTATACTCTAATGAAGAATGGTAGTTAAGTGCACATTCAAAAATGGTTGACTAACTACAATAAAACATTCTTACATATTTTAGGTCAATACTGGGTTTTTCTTCTGAGTACCTGTATTTTTTATTGTGCTGATTGAAATGACCTAATTTATAGGGATTGTTGTTTCATTAAGTTGTAAAATGACTGTTAAGCACATCTTTTTGTAACATAAATATTCATTGGTAAGGTCAGAATTGTGATATACGATTTTCATTTGACACTTTTTATTAAATGTAATTACTGGTGTGTATTGTTTGTATAAACCGCATATGAAATATAATGACATCTTGAAACTTGTGTAATGACATTTTTATCTCATTTCTACTTCGAATTCTATAATTCATAGCACAAAGAAAGTTGTATTTTATGAAAAGAGAAGACATTAAAAAAGTTTAATTTGCCTAGAGGGAAAAAAGACCCGAAGAATATCACTGAGTAATTAATAAAACTTTGTTGTACAAGTTTATTGATTATAAAAATATCATCCAAAACATTTACATCATCTACATCAACATTCACACAATACCTGGTAATGTGTGACTCTGAATACCGACAAATACTTGATGCATTAACTTACAAAAAAGTTCTTTGAGATTTTTAAGTGAATATGTATGATATTCAACACTAATTCATTTTGAGATGCACCAATGTCTGATAAAATAGCATTTTAATTTTACAATTTTTTAAGTGCACTGACTTATCTCTTCATTTTGATTTGAAAAAAAAAAAATTTCAATAACCTGATAGAAGTTTATTTTTGCTCTCACAAATATTTCTCTTGTCTCATTTCTTAAAATACCTTTGCAGGAAAATGAAAACTTAAACCAGACAAAATTAATAAGGTGGTTAGCCAAGCGGTGACTCGCTATAAACCGGGCTAGTAGATTTCTTGTTTTTGAAACATGATGTATAACTGGTAATTTTCATATTTCACTGATACTCATAAGTACACAGATTTAATAAATTCCAAAAGCTGAAACAACACAATGAATTCTGCCCATCAGAAAACCATTCTCTTAGACAAGTCTGTGGACATATTTACATGTTCTTATTTAATGCTTTATCCCCATACATCAGAAAACCCAACTTAATGGTGCTTGACTGCCCTTCTAAATGTATTGAAAAAGCTGTTAGATTTTTTTTTTTCATTTTGTCTTTGGTTTTTTCCACATTGGTCCTTCTTCCTCTGGCTCTTCTTCATCCTCAACTGCATGGTGGAGTATGTTTTGAGGCTGAGACCTGCAATATTTTTTCATTGCAATAAAAAAAAAAAAAAAAAAAAAAACACACACACACACACACACACAGCACTTTTTCCCTTTGTCATTAAGGTATACCCTAACCAAAACAATTCAGAGAATTATGAGCTTATATATTTGAGTTCAAGTGACTGACAAAAAAATATGTAAATTTCTAAAAACTTAAAACTCAAACACAGACTTAAGGACTGCTATTCTGTGAATGGTTTTGATTATGGTGACTACTGCTGGTTAAATGGAAAAGTGTTTAAATTTCCAGGAAAATTGAATTATTTTATCTGTTTTTTTATGCATGCTTTATGATAAATTTTACACTCATGAAAAAAAAGTCGTATTCCTTACTGAGAATATGCTGGAGTGACCCAATAAGGATTTTTTTCTGCATCCTCCGCATGCCTCAAAATGGCCGCCCTTGGATCCTTGTCTCTCTCATCATGTTTCCTGATGACTATTTGTTGAGCTACATACTGAGACAATGTTGAACCATGGGCTGCAAGACGGCCTCCAGAACCTAAAATGGGAAAACATAACTTTAGATCATGACCAAAAACACATGTTATTGATCTATTCCACAAAATATCTTTTAAACACACAGCTGCTGAATATTCTGTGTCACTAGTACTGGAGACTGTAGAAAAAAATTGCTACATGTGCATAAGACCCTTTAAAGGGATAATAACTTCATTTTGGCCAAAAATTTAATTTTCCTGGAGCAAACAACAATTTTCCAATACTTACCAATGGTTAATGAATCCATTTTTACATTCAAAGTTAGTCCCTGTTTTTTTTTCTAAAAAGTTTGCTTTTTTGTTATAATCTCTTAAGAGATTTTAACAGAGTATGGCCATGAATGGAGGTCACGTGGTTTAAAGACAAGCTCAGACATCAGAATAATAGCTATAACTTCAGTTTTTGTGGTACAACAGAATATACAGAATATGTATTATATTTCTATGAGCTGTTCACAATGTTTTTATTGTGAAATATAGATCTCATACGAAGAGTTATTATCCCTTTAATGAATGGTGGTATTCATTTGACATTGAGACTAAGTTTCTGTGCGCTAAAAGCTGTTGAATGATGAGCTTTATCTTTCTTCAACATATTTTAAGCAATAAATATGTGCTTAAAATATGTTCATTCAAAAAAATCAGCAGTGTTTTGGTTAAAGATGAGAGTCAATTTTGATTTTCATACTCTTAAATTAAAATCTGATAATTTTTTTTAAACTAAAAACTCAATTACAACTTCAGATACACTGTTCTACAAATACACATACACAGCATAAGCAAATTCATTAATACATAAATGTTTTAAAGTAATACAATAATAATAATAACAATGAACATTCATTTAGAGTCTAAAATCCACTCATGTTCAACAGACTTTGCAGTATAAAATACAGGTCAAGTTAAAGAAAAGGGCAAAAAATAAAATACCAGGTCCTGTTATTGGCAGATCTGGGCGCCTGGACTTGACTGGATCCTGTCGTGATTTCTCTGTTATTTTCTTTGTACTCTTCTGCCTTTCCTCCTTGAACATTGGCAATGCATAGGCTGAAAAGGTGTACGTAAAGGTGGTTAGATATGGCTACAAACTAATTTAAATCAAGAAATGATTATGGTTGTCTTACGATAAATGTCACGAGTATGGTGTATATATGAAGTTGCATTTTTCACATACTTATGTCTTTTAAAAACAACAAATTCAACAACACAGATAAACAAATATGCACTGATGTTAACTGATCTGAATAGGATAGGGATAAAATCTGATACCACATGATTTTGTCTACTATCTAAAAATTCTATGCCTTTTCTTAAAATGTGTCAATGAGATATCATTATTCAATTTAAAATAACAAAGTGTCACTATTTTTTACCAATACCAAAAATTGCAAAGAAAATAAACTAAAGTCCACTTACGAGTGATTATTCGTTGTGCTGTCATTGCTTCCACTTGCTGAACTTTCCTCTTAGTTTTCACAACACAAAGTTTAGCTCCCCTGTGAAATAATAATAAAATTTATACACCTTGGTCCATATACCAGTAAATATAGGACTAAATTGTGCAATTTTAACTCTAAACAAGGTAAGTTCTGAAAAGTCACAACAAAATAGTAGAACATACACAGAGGTTCCTCACACAAAACAGCAATGGAATTTGGACAGACAATCAAAATTAACAGATTAATCATGAAAATGGATTGAAGTACAATGCAACAGTTAAACAAAAAAATTCCAATGAAATCCCAATTTGAAACCTATGTCCTAAAAAGCAGTTACACAAAGGATATTCTTTGGTGACATAAAAAAATAAGACACAGTTGCGATGATATCTAAAAACAAAATTTACCTTTGACTGCGATCTGGGTCATATAACATTTTGACTTTTCCATCACCTGACCCAACCACTATCTGGTTCAGCTTAGGATGCCATAAACACCTTACTACATTCTGTAACAAACAATAAGAAACCATTGACTATATTCTAATCAGGATATCAGATGGAGAAAATGTATTTTTCCTTTAACTTTTTCCTGAACAATCTGATCAGAAAATATATCAAAAGTATTCTGCTTTCAAAGTGTAATATGCATAAAGAAACATCAGTTTATTATTCAGTGGATTCTACATTTTCTTATCCTCATGACTAAAATAAATAAGATTTGTTCCTATCACATATAAATGGAAGCTGACATAAATATACATAAATATACATTAAACAATTTTTACATTGGTGACTCATCTGTGCCCTTTTATTGACAAAGAATAGGAATGAGCCCCTACATCAGGCACAACAGCTGAATTTCATTAATCTGTCTTTGCATCTATATTGTTGTACAAAAGACATAATTAGCTTACAGAATTTGATATTTCCATTTCTGTGACCCTCTGTAGTGTTTCTCTTTCAAAGAAAATTAGTTTTCCAGTAGTTTCATTTTTATTCAGTGATATTCCTGTCACCACCATTTTATCATCTGGACTGAAGATGCAGTCAGTCCTGGAAAAAGAATTAAGAACACTTCATTTTAAAAATGTTATTAACAGATAAATTCTATATGCTCAAATTAAAAAAAATTATTTTAAAACAGTAGTCAGATAACTTACTGACTTCTTAAAATTTTTATATCAATTATTTGACTGAAAATTTACAAAAATGTATACAAAGTTGTTGCGTAGGGTATGCAACTGTAGGAGCAGCAGCATCAGTAAAAGTAGGTGTAGTAGTAGTAGTAACAGCACTGGTTGGATTTCAATGTCCCATGCTTCTTTAAAGGGTATTTAAACATTTTCAATAGTGCAGTTGCACTTCTTGCACTTGCACTCAGTCCTTTAATAATATCACTTACATAGGAAATAAGTTGAACAAATCATTAGCCACTACAAGTGGTTTTTTAAAATTCCTGATGTCCCATAGTTTAAGAGTGTCATCACCTAAAATAAACAAAAAAACAGAAACTTTTCAGAATGAGATTTGTATTTCAATTTCTCTCCATATATATATATTCTTGCTGTACATAAAATCTGTCATTTTTTAACTATTTTAGTTTCTATCCATAACTGTCATTGTATACAACATTACTTTGCCAGTATTGCCTTCAATTCACTTCTACACAACTATTAATTTCTTTGTGATGACCAATTTTGAAGAGTATTAAAGAAAAACACTAATTCTCTCACCTCCTCTGGTTGCCAGTACCCTCCCATCATATGAGAATCTTATGCATGATGTGTCTGTGCCATTCTGGTGAGCTGTCCTATTCATTAATGCCACATTGACCTAATGTCAATAATCAATCTATATCACGTTTTATGACATTTATAACAATTTTCATGACAATTTGTATAGATGAACTTCCTACAAGGAAAATATACACAATGACTCCATTTAAAAACAACTTTAATGCATGCAAATCATTGTTTACATAAATGTTTTGCAAATTTCACTTGGAGACCAACCAAATCAATATACTAATATCTTATTAATTGCTCTTAACAATGAAAATGGCCTAAACTGTGCTTCAAAGGAGTTGTACAAGA